CTCCCCCCACCTACAATCCCTGCCGGTACGAGACTCGAACCCGCAACCTTTGGGTTACGAGTCCGACTCTCTAACCATTAGGCCACGACTTCCCCCCCAAGACTACAGTAAGATTTAACTTCTACTGTTAATAAGATTTTGGTAGGCTACTATTAGATGGATAGCCTAAATACCCTAATTCAGATGGGCTACCTTTTTTTTTTAGTGGTATATCAAAAAGTGTATATTTTTTTAATGTGATTGTTGGTACATTTTACCAGTTTTTACCATACTTTCAAAACAAAAATTAAAATGGGAAAAATATGCAATATGAAAATAATTGAAGACAAAATGTGTTTTACTGAGAAAAAACAAGATTTGGTTTTTAAAAAGCCTTTTTCCAAAAGGTACATCTGGAAAAAGGGGGGTTGTCTTATAATCAGGGTCGTCTTATATTCGGGCCAATACGGTATTACTATTTTTACTGTATTTTTCAGCAAATAACTGCAGTCTTGGTGAGCGTAAAAGACTTAAAAACATAAAAACAACCCAAAGTTTACAGTAGTTTTGAACAGGCACTGTACAGTAGGAGGACTTACCTTGTGTCCTTTTTCATTGTCTGGAAGATAGCAGTGACGGGGAAATCCTCTTGCCGTAAAAGGCTTCCCTGGATTTGGATGCTCAGGACCCTTGTGAGAGACAGGAGAGGAGATATTCTATTAAATATAATAATGATTGTGTGGAGACCAAGTGTAAACGCAACCAAGATGCACTGAAAATGGACTACAATCTAAGCATCTTTAATAGAACACAACTTCATAAACCATATGATATATTTATACCTGTATCCCGGGCGGTATGTTGTAGATGATGCGAATGGTTTTGCAGTCTGGGTGTCCTGGAAGTGAGTGCGGGATGACATGGTACTCCATCTTACCGGGTGGCTGGTTGCCTGTCTTTACTCCATATATTGTCTTGCATGTGGGACACTGTATATAATGTATGCATGCAGGTGAAGTAGGATGTACTATATATCTAACTTTCAATATATTGTTGAGCGATAATATATTTTCCATTTTTCAACAATACAAAAATCAAGCAGTTGAGATTGCAATATAGTACGTATCATTTTGAGTGTACTGTATGTATCTGGGTAAGGTTGGATAGACTTATAGTAGTTGTATCATTCGTTAATTAATTTGAGTTATTAATTTGTTATCTGGTAATATTGAAAATTATGCAACCTGTACGGTTTTGTTCAATTTTGTATCAATTTGTATTAATCAATGAATGATGTAAGGTAACTTTTATTATTATTATAGGTATTATTTGCTTTACTCTACTAAAGAGCGTTCTTTAAACTGTCTAAATGCTTCATCAGGATGATTTAGTTATTTTGATGTGAGACAAGAAGTGTTATTTTAAGTGGGAAGTCGATGGCCTAATGGTTAGAGAGTCGGACTCGTAACCCAAAGCTGGTTGCCTGTCTTTACTCCATATATTGTCTTGCATGTGGGACACTGCAGGCTGCCATCTTTGTTGCCATTGTTGTACATGGCCACTAGGCACTGCAGGTGATAAAGATGCCCACATTGTGCCAGTCTTCCAACCGACTCTGCACGTGAAACACTTGGTACACCAGGACCCTTATACCCCGAGGGTCCCTCTAGAGCCTCCATACAAATAGTACAATCCTGAAAGGAAATACAGAATACCGATATAAGACGTAGATATAAAAAGGTTAAGAAATGGATTTGTTTTTTTGTGACCATAAGTTTTAATGCAATATAAAATATTAAAAAAAATAAAAAAAAAAAAAAAAAAAATA